CAATTTATTCTTAATAATGTGGAGACCATATTTGAAATATCAAATGTTGGACAATAACCATGTCTTAAATATAGAAGAAATGTTGTCAACTACTATACTTGTATACTATACTACTATGCTACCTTAAAAACATATAATCGTAAAAATTACTAATACCTATTAGAAGTCATTCAAAGTTTTAACCTGGTTTTTAAAACTTACAATTTCGTATTATTATAAAATTTATTAAGTACGCAATGAATCGTAAAAAAATACCTACATTTTAATTAATAATTAAATCAAATTTTAATTAAAATTTATTGTTTAAAAAAAAAAAGTAGTTTCTATAATTTACAATTCTTAAGACTCAGGCAGATATCCAATTTTTAATTTTTAACTGGCAGATAACGCAATAATTTAGTTGCTTATAGATGTACAGTAATACCCCGTGTTACGTACGCTCGTTTTACGTACCCTCGCACTTATGTACATCTCATTTTTGTCCGCAATTGCCCATTATACGTACAATGATTCACACTTACGTACAAGTACATTTTTTCTGGTTTTGAAATTTATGGAAAAAAAAATTATGTATACCAAATTGAGAATGTACACTTGTAACAACGTGTTTTTGTATGTCTGTACATTATTTCTATGAAACCTAAATTTTGTTATGAGTGAATGCATGTAGAAACAAGTCAAAACAAGTCAATGAAGATGAAGATGATACATCATTCTCTACATCATGGAGCAATTAAATTTGAATTACTGTTATCCTCAGGAAAGCTGTCCAAAATTATCTTCTTTTTTGTCATAGTTTTATTAAAGATCTTTTTCGCTCAGCTTTTTCCTCCTGCCGTCCCTTCCCCTCTTTATTCTCTTTAAATACTTTTCGTTATCAACATTCCTTCCTCTTTGGGAATGATGGCGGTATTAAAGGGAGGTAACTTGGACTGGTCTGGCGGCATTCTCAAACATTCCTCTCCCGGGGCTAATCCAAGCTCCAGTGTTCTGAGCTCTCGCGTAACAATTACAATATTATTTATATTTAAATTATGTATTGATGAATTTTGAAGTTTATGTTTTATATTTCAGTTTTGTTTGATATTTATATATGTATATGAATTTGTTTTTTGTTTTGTTTTTTTAATACACGTTAAGTGTTAAATATAGTATAAAAACGTATGAAATAAAAGTATAAAACTGCATACATAATATCCCTCTTTTTCTTTTTATTTATATATTTATTGTTTTAGTTTGTTTCAAACATATTATTCTTCAATAAAGTAGTAGATTCATTCTACGTACATTTTTGTTTTACGTACACGCTCCGGTCCCAAAGGGTACGTAAGTGCGGGGTATTACTGTACGTGCAATGACTTTATATATACTCGTACAATCAAGCAGTAATTAAAAATTAAATAAAAATCACATCTCTCTCTTACTCATAAATGAGCTGGTTTTTTTTTTGAAAATGGTATAAGTCCATTCAAGGGTTTGTGTTTGAATCACAAAATTTAACATTTATTGAGATATTTTAAGGGTTTGCATTTGAATCAATTTAAAAATATTATGGTTTGTTTATTTTTTGTTTAAATACAAAACTCTATTGAAATTGTGATTATAACTGTGGAGAAAAGATGTCTATAGCTCATCAAAATTACAATTAATTAATTAGATGTTTAAAAAAATGGACTTATATCACTTTCACAAAAAAAAAAGCTGAAATTTGAAAATATATTTATTTAGAATTTTAATCAAAAATAAAATGTGTAAAAATGGTCACTTTAAATTAAATTATGACAGCGTATGACAGTTACAACGATAGAATTTTTATTCTTTTTACGCCTTATGATTTCTTTTTTGGTTAAAGTTTTTTGGGACATTTTCGTTAATACGAGTATATTGCGCTAATTGAGGTATTGTTTTTAAAATTGGCCACATTATGGTATAAATGCAAAATGTTTATATAGGCACAATTATTTTTCAATTTTTATAAATTTTTTTTTTTTTTTTTAAATAATTATTTCACATGGAGATTTAGTTATCTAGATAAGTAAAAAATTGTTTTGGAAATTTGTTTTCTAAATGTATCTAGGATCAATTACATGAATTATTATTTTTTTTTTGTTTCTTTATATTCACTTCTGTTATACAGAAAAGAAATAAAAAGGTATATAGAAGCATAAGTGACTGCTGTAATTACAACATCAATTTCGTAATGTACATATATATGTATACATATATATATACAAGGTAAGGTATTCTATAATTAATTATTTATACAAAATAAGAATTCATTTCATCAATTCTGAATAGCAATTTTAAATAGGGATTTTACTTATGTGTTCAAATTTCTTATATGTCAAAACCAATTATCAACGTCACTCATCTACATAACGCCGGTTGTATTCATATATGTATTTCCGATGCGTTATGAATTAAATTTTACAGGAGACAAATTTTCTAACTTTTACAGGCCGTTCTGTCGATGTGCACTATATTCGTTGGCTTGTATAGATGTCGGGTAAGTAGTCCTTTAAAAAAAAAAACAAGAATTTAAGAAAAAATAGAGTACTCGTAACATTTAATAAAATTTCAAAAATCTGTTTTATTTTAAAACTATTTGAAACTTTGTTTCATACTATATGAGTTTCAATCCAAATATGAGTTGGATTATTTTTTCTACTGCCTTTGTGGGTTCCTAAAAATTTCAGTACAGGAACGCATATAGCTTACATTGTACTTAAGAAATTATTAAAAATAAATTATGTAGAGATTACATACCTGTAAGATTATACCGATTGAAATTTCATCATCACCGATTGAAATTTCATCTTTGTTGTAACAAAATTTTGGCTTTTTCTATTTGCTGTCTTTAACGTTCGTAATTTCTGCTTTCCCTCCATGATTGCGCTAATATTGTTAGGCTTATAAAACAACAAATTTAATTGAGTATATTCCACAATTGGTATTCAAATTAAAAAGACCTGAAACTTTACACAATATTGTTGAAAAGTGTTGCTTCGTCTGGAAATTTTCAGCTTACAAAATGAAGTTCCTTACAAAATGAATAAATTCAGCATTATGAATTTACTTAGTACGCATTATGAAACTGATATATTTTACATACATACATATGTATGTATGAATATTGCATTTCGAAATATTTCACCAACGATATTCCATTATAAAAATTTCATTACATATTTTAACAATAAAAATTTAGTGATATATTTTTTTAAATATCAAAATCCACGACCACAACATCGAAATTTTCCACCACATTTTTTTTTTCCAAAAGGTTTTAAAACAAAATAAATTTTAGAAGAGATAAATCAAACGAACGCTCTAGTGTTAAATAGGAAAGACACTTTAAAATCTATTTCGAAAAAATGTCCACATCGTGGCAGCACTTGAATATTTTAAGAAAATCTTGCACACGTGTATTTAAGAATAATTTCTTGTGTATTTAAGGAAAATTTTAAAATATATAAAAATTTCAATAAAAAATATTTTCCAGATATAATTCTCACGTTCTATAAACTGTATAAACAATTGACAGACTTTCTATAGATGAGCTAGAACCATGGAAAAAAAATTATTCAATAATTTTTAGTGAGATCTCCAAAGAACGTTGGCACAATGATAAAAATGTACCAATCGAATGTAGTTATTCGATTGGTACATTTTTCTGCTCAACAAAAGCTTATATGTATTTCATTAGTTTCCCAATTGTCTTTGATAAATTCAGAATTGATCTTGTTTTATTTTATTTAATTGTGTCACTTCATTTCCAGTGAGAAAAGCTGATATCCGTTTACTAAAAAGTGCAATTTCAGTTTTTTGCTTTGTAATAAAATAATGAAATAAAAAATTATTTCAAAAATTAAAAAATAATAAAATTTTCATTTTTATGGTTAAATACGGTTAAATACCACCCTGTTATGATTTACTCTACCCCAACAATAAAAATAGAAGAATTAATTGAATTGATAATCTGTAATTAAATTCAAATATTTTAAATAATTTCAAAATAATAATTAAGTGTTTATGTATGGAAATTAAAGTGGTAATTATTTAATTAAGCTATTATAACAGTTATTTTGTTTTATTTACTAAATACTCTATGTACATACATACATATACATATATTTGGTTTTTCAATTGGCCGACTTATGTCTGTAATATGCACATGTATACATACACATATTATAATTTATTAAATTTGTGCTCCCCCCTTGGTTAAATAAAATATTATATAGGATTGAATTTCTAATAGGTAAGTAGTTATTCATTTTTATTTGAATATTGAGGAACTTATAAAATAAAATAAAATTAAATATCTTCAACTGCTTTAACCAAAGTCTCGCACGATCTCTTGTAAAAGTGATGTACGCTTTGAATATTTCAATGAAATCACAGTTTCACAAATTTTATTCTAACGTCTCTGATATTCAATACATTTTTATTTTTAAGCAAAACTATAAAAACACAAATTATTATTCAAAAGTTTAAAGATTTCATAACCATATCCGTTTAACATTACAAAGCTTAAGTATGGCAGAGTTTGTGTTTATTGTAAATAGATTTAAAAAGCTTATGTATTACATTATTTTTATCTTGCATATACATACATATGTACACAGTTAAATTTGAACATTAAATATTAATAAAAGAAAATGATATTTAAATTTTTTTCTTAGAGTTTTTCAATCCTTTTTTCAACCACTTTTAATTATGTGCAAATAAAAACCCAATAATTACACATTACGTACGTAGCATGGAACAATTACAAAATAATAACTTAATTAACGACTTTAAATAAATAACATTCAATTGTTTAATCCTTAAATATGTACATATTTTTTCAATTTCTTTAATCCGCAGCCTACATTTAAATTAAAAGGGTTCAATAATTTTGATCGGCTCACCTTTAATATTCTTTTAATCAGTCATTGACTTATAAGGATTTGAAACGTTTGTTGATTGATTACAAAGAATTTAAAACTTTTGAAAAGATGAACAAGTTACGTACCTTTAAAGATTTTACAAGAATTCCAACAATATTTTATTCTTCTATTGGAATGCAACCACATCAAAATAATTCAGTTAAATCTTTTTTAAGTAATTTTTTATTTTATTTTGGTGAAATAAATCTTAATATTTGTGTTGTGGGTGAATTTATTTATTTATATTTTGCAATCGGATCATTTTCAACATTTTTGGAAGCAACTGCTTTGGCACCATGTATTGGATTTTGTTTAGTTAGTGATTTTAAAATGATTGCTATTTGGTTTAATAAAAATCTTTTATTGAGTATGATGAAAGAATTAACGGATATTTTTCCAAAAACACTTGAATTACAAAATGAATTTAAAGTAATAAAATATGAAAAAACTATTAATATAAATATGATTCCGTTTGCAGCATTATACATGATATTAATTTGGACATTTAATTTAATGAATTTAGTTACATCAACTTGGAAATATTTATTTATGAATATGGAATTTAAACCTATTCAACCATATTTTATATGGTATCCATTTAATGAAAATTCACCAATATCTTTTCCAATTATTTATTTGTTACAATGTCATGCTGGTTATATAGCAGCAGTTGGAACTCTTGCAACTGATTTATTATTATGTTGTATTGTTATTCAATTATCAATGCATTTCGATTATTTATCATACAAGATTGAAACTTTTGAGCCAACTTATAGTATGGATGACATGAAAATTTTAAATGGTTACATTAAACATCATACTAAGTGCTTAAGGTAAGATCGATGATATAAAAATTCACATATAATTTAATGTAATTACTTGCACATACTACATACTCGTACTTACATTTAACAAAGCATGAATCGCAAAAATTTAATAAAGTTACATATTATATATTTATGTATTCTTTAAATTTTTAGTAATAATTTACAATTGTGTTTAAAGTTTCAATTAAAAGCAAAAATATTTTATAATTATTACATTTATTAATTTATTTCTTCATAATCTTAGATTAGCTGAACAAATAAATCAAATGTTTGGTGTTTCACTATTTTTAAATTTTTTTACATCGACTATAATTATTTGCTTAGTGGGATTTCAAGTTACAGCTGGTGTTGGAACGACCGATTTAATTAAATACTGTTTATTTTTAATTTCTTCATTAATACAGGTATTTCTCCTATGTTATTATGGAACTGTCTTAATTGATGCGGTAATTTTTTTTGTTTATAAATATAAAACATAATTAAAGAAAAATTCATTTTAGAGTTCAAATATATCTAATGCCACATATAATTCAAATTGGGTTTCTACTAGCCTAAAATATCAAAAATCTTTATTATTAATAATTCAAAGATCACAAAAACCTGCAATTCTTGACGCCCCAATATACCATAAAATATCTTTAGACATTTTTACAACGGTAATTAAAAATATTTAAATTTAATATTGTACGTACATAAATATACATATTTACATTTTTATATTATTGTAGGTTGTCAGCTTATCATATCAGTTTTTTACTTTACTGAAAACAATGTATTCGGAAGAATAAAATTTCTACAAAAACATAGTATGGAAAAATACAATAGATAAACTTGTTTTCATTTTTGAAAAAAATAACTTTAAAACTGATCTATTTTAACTTTATTAAACAGTTTCTTATACTAATAAATGTTAGCATCGCTGTTCTCATCTATTTAACCAGCTGCAAATTATTTAATTTTTTTACCACACTATCAGCAAAAAAAAAACTAAATCTGTAATCTACATGGGTCGATAAATCTAAAACTTTTCACTTCATTTCGCACCTCCTATAAAGTTTTTGTAGGCAAAAGAAAGAATTTATGAAATCACAAATTTTCATTATATATATGTATGTATAATATATAAGTATATAAAAATAAAAAATATTTGTGTTTAAAAATTATTTATTTATCTACGGCTTTTTTTTTTTATGTTGCATTGTTAGTAATATTGGATATACGCATGACTTTATGCTAATGCCGAAAATCATAAGATAAAATAAGTTTTTAATATATTCTTAAATTTTGTCTTATTACTTATTTTTTACAAATTGTACATGAGTCTTCATTTCGAAAACAATTTTTATGAAAAACGTGACGACATTTAAATATAATAATATCTGTTTTATTAATATCTTTTTGTAATATTTCTCCATTACACTCACACTTCTTATCGTAGTCTACATAAATTGCGCGACGATGATTATTAACTAGTTTTTCATGTAAATTAAAATAATCAGTTACAACGACTTCGTTATATCCCTCTTGAATACTTTCTTGTAAACTATAATCATGTAACATTTTTATTAAGGAATTTTTAAGTCCTGGAATATTTTCTCCTGGCTTTATTTGTTCAACTAAAATTTCAGGTTCAATATATCCAACCATATTGTTGAGTAACAAAGGAATAAGTTCATTATTTTTAAGTGATTCTTTTATTAAATCGCTCCATAAATCAGAGTCTCCGAGTCTTTTACAAAACTCAATAGCTTTATCGATATCCTTTAATTTCTGGACAATTATATTTAAAGCTTCTGATGTATTCCCCATTCGCTCAAGTAAATAAACCATTTCTTCATAAAATGATTCCCTTTTACAAATATCTAATGCTTCTTGTATAGGATAATTGTTTGAGCGTTTTAAAAAAGACAAAAGTAATTTATTATCAAATTTAGCATATAAATTTACAAGTTTCCAATGATATTTCCCATTTTTAATTTCTTTATCGTATCCTTTCAAATATTCAAATAACAAATCTTGCCTTTGTTCTAAATGCTCCACTACAATATCAGATGACACTTCTTTGTGTAACAAAATATCCATTGCCATTTTTGAATCAAGTTCTATTAGCGGGATTATCATAGGATAAATTGAAGAATATAACCCACAAGTTTTTATTAAGTTGAAAACTTCCTTATTTTTGATAGTTAAATATAATTTCAATGCGCAATTATAATTTTCTTCGTGAGCATATAAAATTGCTAGGGCTTCAAGAAGTTCATTGCCTTTTTCTTTACTAAAATTATCTTTCACGGCATTAATAACTGCTGCTGCATTATATAAATCCGGAGGCCATTTTTTTACTAAGTTTAAAAAACCTTTGGCATCAAGCTTTAAATATTCAAAAAGCACCATTTCGTAAACATAAGGATCTAATTTTGTTGTAGCTGAACAAGGCAAATAAGGGCTAATTGATCGCAGTTCTTGATGTTTAACAAATTTGTACACTTCCTCTTCCCATAAGGACTTATTATCTCCCAATGCTGTAGAACATAACTTTGCAGCTGCGCTATACTGCTTTAATGACAATAAATGATCTATATACCCCCTGGCTACTGATAAATAAGAAAATTTTATAGTATTATTTGTAGATACCAATTCTAAAGCCGTATCAAATTTTTTGTGTTCAATAAGCCACTGTATTTTATCATCAACATCATGCAAAATTGCAACAACAATATCTTTCGGAGCCACGATATAGTATCTCTTTTCTTCTTTAATATATTCCAAAAAATAATCGTTAACTTTATACTTTTGATATCCTCGTAGTGACAAGCTATCTGTAGTAATTCTTTCATAATCATTTGAGGTATAAGTTACAACGCATAATATTGGTCTTAATGCCTCATCGTTATCTTCATTCCTTTTTTTCTCGTAACCTAAAAGAACTAAACGATCCATATCTAAAGACGCTAATCCCGATATGAAGAAAGGGGTTTGGAAAGTTGATATAGGATCAACAATGTGACCCGGGTATAATCTAGTTGATGCGTCAATTGAATTTCTTTTCCTTATTATACAAATCCTCACAGTATCTCCCCATCCAATTAATAACGTACAAGAATCAGTCCAGCGTAAATTACATCTAAAATTTTTTAAGGAATAATACTTCGGCTCTTCCCATTTCATTACTCCTAAAGAACATTTTTCATTTAAGTCATAAACTCTTACTTCTGTATTACTCGTCCATGCAATAAATTGTGTATTCCATGAAACTGCAGAGACATAGCCATCAGCTTTACATAAAACTACCGGTTTCATATTATTCAAAAAATTTTTTTCGTACAAAATTAAATTTTCATCTCCAATAATGAATCGATTTACTGATGAGTATTTAGTTTCTGAATCTAAAGCGATACATTTGACTGATTTACCAAGTAATAATTTTTGATCACCATCATCACCAAATAATCCAGTTAAAAATATTTTGCCATCATCCGAACATGATGCCAAGAATTCTCCTTTTTTGTCGATAGATATTTGATTAACTGCAACAGAATGAAAATGTGATATTTTCACAAGTTTTTCAGCAAGCGGTTTGGCTAAATACCCCTGATGGTCCAATATATGTATTCGACCACAATATGTCCCAAAAACCAAAAATTTTTCGTGGACTGCTACGCAAGTAACTATATCGTTATTTACAATATCTGTTAGATCGTTTCCAATGCGTATATATTTAAATATTGGTTCGACATCCTCACTCAAATCGGAGTCCGTTTCGTCAGACATTATAAACAAATTTTAGTGATATAAAAAACCAAATTAAATAAAAATTACAGAATAGATATTATTCATCAATTTCTTTGTTTATATTTTCACTTTTTTTTTTGTACTTTGACATATTGTCAAATGGTGACGTTTTGCAAGGCTACGCTCAGAAAACCTTCAGTTTTGACAGTAGACGAATTAATATTAGAGTCAGTCACAGTCCAAAAAAATATTTTTCACCCAAAATTGAAAAACATTTGTGTTCTTTTTTTAAGATTCTCCTAGAATACTTGACCGTTGAAAAAACTTATTACGCCAGTTACTATATAGTTTTAAAAAATGAGTCAAACCAGCTTTTGAGGTTTCTGAAAGGTATCTTTTTGATGAAAGGAAAGGTATTTTTTTGATACCAACATTCGAAAAAAAAATTTGAGGTACACATTCACATACCATTGTAACCATAGTACAAAATGGTTCCTCGAACTCAAACCACTTATTTCGTAAAGATATTTGATAAATGAGCAAATTAGCTCAACGGTTAAAAAGGCAGTGTAGTATTCCCAAAAGATATTGATGGAGTAATAATTTGAGTCACTTAGGGCGAAATCTTATGTTTCTTAGAAAAAAATATCCCTTACCTGTCTCTAATTAAAAAAATTGTGAATTGTTTTCGAAATCATTACTGAAATTTCAATATATCACATTAAAAAGAAACTATTGTAGTTTAGAATTCAATTATACATATATATGTACATACGTACATAATATATAAAAGTACATTGTATATTAAGCGGTAAAGAAAAAAATAATAAAATAAAATTGATAAAAAATTGAAGTTTTTATCGAGCAAACGTTTCCATCACTGAAAACATTTTTTTTTATATACAATGGTACCTACATTTTTTAAAATTAAGGCAATTCTGTATTCACTATTATATTCTGTATTTCTTTTTGAAAAAGGTAACTGCAAACAGGAAAAAGGGAGGTTTAGAAAATAGTTTTTCCAACTAAAGTGAAGATACGAAATTCTTGCTAGACTCCTTACCAATGCTTTAGAATTGTTTTCTAGCCTTAAGCTAATATAAGTATATTAAAATAAAATATTATATAAAAGTATAGTTTAAGTTGAAATGTTGGAAAATGTCGAAAAACGGTATGTTGGCAAAATGTTGCTTAAAATTTTCAACTAACCTACAGCTGAGAAACAGGCATTCAAACAATGTCATTATATAAGCAAGTCAAAAAACACAGGTTTGATTTTTCTTATAACTTAATTGCACATAGTAAATAACTAAAAATAAAATTATTCAAAGAATATGTAAATATAAATTAAATTTTGCTTTTGATATTAAAATTATGCTCTTATTATGGAAATAAAAAAGTAACATATTCATTTAAAAACGGAAAATACGGTTTTAATCTACAACTGGCAAATAATATTGTACTTCTGCTAATCCTGATTCAGTTTTAACAATTGTAAATACGGACTTTTGTTGCCCACGAATTTGGATAGGTTGCGCCGTACTTTGCTGAACTTGAACTTCCAGTGCTTCACTCAAATCAGGTTCATAATTGCTATCCACATCCAATTTAATTTCTTTCCCGTCGTCTAAATTTCCTTTGATCTCATGTGCTTCATACTGCATTTCACATGCATGATTTTTCATATGATTGTCGAGGTATAATTTCTTAGTAAAGCCCTTTTCACAAATATTACATCTAAAATATAAATAAATTTTTAAAATTTTTTGCACAACTTTAAAAAACAACATTAGCGTTACTTAAATTTTTTTATCCCAGTATGAACAAGCTGATGCACATTTAAAACATGTGAGTATGAAAATGATTTATTACATCTCTGACACCTGAAATAATTGTTAAAATTATTACATTTGCCATTAAAATAATAAATAACCTACTTGTAAGGCCTTTCACCAGTATGAGTTCTGAAAATTACACAAACGTTAAGTGCTACGCAACATAAACAATGTTAAAAAATTTTTTACCTTTCATGTTTACCACGACTTCCGAAATCAGAAAATCTACGATCACAAAATTTACATGCATAAGGTTTTTCACCAGTGTGAACTCTCTAAAAGTTTAAAATTAAAATTTATTTTTTTTTTAATTTATGCATAAAAATATTTAGGTATATTTGCAAGTTTACCATATGCCTTTTTAAATCAGTATCTGCAACGAATGCCTTTGGACAAAGCCTATAACAACAGAAATACAAAATTGAAAATTGCTAATAAGATTTAACAAATTAAATTTCGAATCACTTACTCGCACTGAAATTTCCTAACATTTTCATGCCTCAACATATGAACTCTTAAAGCATTTGCATGTTTGTACGTGTTACCTGAAAGTTGTAAAAAGCTATGTATTGTAGGTAATTTTTACTAATTTAAAAAATGACGTACCGCACAATTCGCAAACAAGCTTTTCATTTTTATCAATATATTCAAGAGATGATGTCTTTGGAATGCGGGGAGATTCGCTTTCATTTTTTTTATTTCGCTTTGGATTTTTACTAATTACTATACTTGACAAAGTATCATCTCTCTTCATTCTACGTTTTGGTTCTGGAGAATCAATATATCGTTTTGGCGGTTTAACTTTACTTCTTGTTTTTGTTTTCGTAATATATGTATCTGCGCTTGATGAGGAGTGCAGGTTTTTTGTTTGGTTAGCTTTTTTTTTCTATAAAGAAAACAATTAGACGAAATAAGATTGACAATCGTAAATTTTTACTAAGAATTCCGTTAGATTAGGAAATATATCTTCATCTAAATCATCATCTATATTATTAAGTGGTTCATTTTCTTCTTCATATTCGTCTTGTGAAACTTCCTGCTTAATATTAATTTTTGTACGAATTCCAGCATCTTTAGTATATCGCTTTTTTGGAGTTAACAATATTGAATTGGAATCTAGTTTCTCAATATTATCCGGTTTAATTTCATCTAATTCATTTCCACTTTCTTTACCATCATCAACAAAAAGTGATTTTATAATTTGCTGGGAATTTTCACAATTTGTTCGAAATCTAAATGCTGCTGTTAAATCAGATAAACATGAATCACAAATTTGCTCTGGAAAATCAGATTCTAAACTGAACTGAAAGGGATAATAATAAGGATAAAATTTAGAATTCTTAAAAAGTAATTTTGGCAAAACGTACGTCAATATTTGTGCATTTTTTTATTTTTTCATTTAATTTTAACCCTGTTTCATCCTCATCATATATAGAATGCATTATTCCTTCTTGCAAGCAAACTAAGCACACTAAGTGCCAATCAACACTTGTGTCCATTTTTCTTAATGTTAAAACCTTTACTTTTAGAAATAATTCAATATTTTTATTCCACAATTATCAAATAATATTTGATGCTTTTATTTTCTTCTATTAAACAATAATGACAGCCAAAGAGGTATGGCGTGTGATTCACAATAAATCAACAATCAGTGTTGCTAACTTTACAACACTTTGTTAAATATCAAAACAAAAACGGTTACATATTTCATATGTTTCCACCACGCTATTACATTTTATGTTACGTATTTTTATTCCCTCACGTATTCCTATTTTTGCATTGTGTCTTAAATTCGACTTTAAATTTAAATATTTTAAAAATTCAATTTATATTGAAAGTTTTTTAAAAATTATTGTTAGAAACATCATTTAAAATCTTTACTTGTTTTACTGAAAAAGTAAGTTGTCAGAAATGTCAGACTTTCAAAACTAATTTTTGTTTTTTTATTGAAATTTGATTAATAAGCAGACATAGGTTATATTGAATTACTAAAGAAGCATTCTATTGATGATATTTTATAAAATATCAGTGTTTTTCCATATTCAATAACTCAAACACAGGTCTACAATTCGATAATTAAAATAATTTGAGTGTTATAAGTATATAATAATTTAACAGTTTTGTGGACCTCTGGTATCAGCTCTAAAAACTAATTGTATAAATTGATTTGAAACGTCATTTAAGGCTTTAACATTATTATTATTATTATAAGATATTTTTTTTTATGTGAAATAAAAATTAACAAGGATACGAAAATTTATATTAAAATTATAATAATATAACACAAATTCAAAAATTAATATTTATTAATATGGAAAGTAAGTGAAATCATCATAACTACACATATATCCACCTAAACTAAACTGGACAAAAAATAACTTTTGATTTGTAATTTTTTAGGCATGAAAGAAAAAAAAATAAGGAAAACATGGAAAAAACCAGGGGCGATTTGTGGTGTGCCTGGTTGCTCAAATTATAAAAACAAAAATATTTCTACACATAAAATTCCTCAAGATGTAATAAAGTGCAAAAATACTTTGAAGAAGTGGTCAATGGCACTTAAAATGGGTAAACCATTCCCAAAAAATTTCAGAATATGTTCAGTTCATTTTGAAAAGAGATTTTTTCGTCAAACTGGAGCTTCTGTACGTATGAGCAATAGAGCTTTCCCGACATTAAATTTGCCTAAATCTTTAATAGGTATGAAAAAGTTAAAAACATCTAATGTGGAAAGAAAAGAAAAAACTCTTAAACAGGGAAAAGTTATAGAAGCTGTGTATGCTTATATGATGTATAAAATCGCACATAATTTTGTTCATCAAAGTGTTATTTTTTAGTTTACAAAATTCAGCTCAAGATTATGACCCAAGGAATGAATCTTTTAGCATTGACAGTTCATTAATAAATCATAATTCTACACAATGCGAGCAGATGGAAACTGCAGATAAATCAATTCAAACTCAAAAATTTGAATATATTGATTTTTCTTCTACATGGGACACTTCCGAGAAGTTGATGGTAATGACGGGTATACCTAATTTTGCATTGTTAGATGATTTTATTAAAGCCTGCTGCGAGTTAGAAGCTACAGATAAATCATATATCAGCATGAAAATCCGAATTTTATTAACAATGCTTAAATTAAAAACAAATATGACTTTTCAGCAAGTGGCAATTAGCTTCAACATATCGTCCAAAACGGCGAAATTATATTTTAGTGACACTATTCAGCTTCTCAGTAAAGTGTTACAACCTGCCATTAATTTTTTGCCTACAAGAGAAGAATACACGAAAAACTTAACTACTTGTTTCACTAATTTTCCTAATACGGCTGTTATTCTTGACTCTACAGAAGTAAAGAGTGCTGTATTTAGACATTTAAAATCTAAAAAAAGTTTTGTCCAGGTCAAGCAATTTAAAGTGCTTTCAGAAAAGCTGCCCTTGCATCTTCTTCCATTCATCAACAATATTTTGACTGTTATTTGTGGAATTTCAAATTTAACAAACCTGAAAAATTGTGATCAATAAAATTGTTCTTTGATAAATAAAATTGTACTTTAATTTTACACATAATTTCGTTTTTTATTGTAATTTTTTTAAACAAAAATTGTCAGCTTAAAACTAAGCAAATATAATTAGCTTTACAACTAAAAAATATTGAGCATGTCTTATCTTTCCGATCAAATTTTCTTCAACCATTATGATGGTTTTCTCCCTCCGAAATTCTTACAGATATTTTTATTATGCATAGAACTTTTTCTGAGATTCTTTCATTTCTAGGACAAAACCAAAATATGTGTTATTCTTATTATCTTGCCTTAAAATTTCGCCTTTTCCAAATTCGTATTGTTATAATAAACCCTAATGTGTTATAACAAACCCTAAGGTCAGAATTGTAACAATACTGCATTAATGCAAAATTCAGCTTATGAATGCCAATTAGTGAATTCTGAATTGACATAGTATTACTACAACTGCGATGTCAGAGATATTCAAGCTCTTAGTGGTTCAGCCTAGTTTCGTTTTAAGCGTTGTAGCCATGTAAAAATTGTGACAATAATAAGGAGAGAATTGAAGTATTTGAAGGTACAGAACATTTCGGATACATTTTTTTTTATTAAATGTGAAGTTCAATTTGTCTAACAAAAAGTCAAATTTACATTTCAAGGACTGGAAATCACATTTTAAGTTGTCGAACCTTTAATTAAATGAAACTTAACAATGTGAATTAAAATATTTTGTCCTCAACAAAACTCTTATTTTTTTACGAAAACAATATTAATTCAAGTTTTTGTTCACTTAATAACCAGTAAACAGAATATCTATAGTTGCTTAAGTTTTTTGAAATTTTTTAACACTTTTTGCTACTCGTTATATATGAGTAACTGGGATTCACTAGAGTAAAATGGAGAGAAGTTACGGTTACGGTAAGCATGCAATAACATTCAGATAAAGTGTTGGTGTTCTTACTTTTTACTTTACCCGTTTTGACGAAATGAAGCATTAAAGCAGAGGAGAAAGTAAATTAATAAATAAATTGATAAATAAATATGTTAAATATTAAACATATAAATAAGAACAGGCAAAATTTATATTCATCTTAATTTTTTCCTTACAGCGTTTATTTCCCTCGAATTCACTTTTAATTGTTATAGCTGCATTCATAACACTTTCCAGATTACACAAATTAAACTTATGCATATGGAATTCAAAAAACCTAAAACATATTATGTTTTTAGATAAGAATTACTTTTCAATCAATAATATTTGAAGACAATGTTGATCTTAATAGAAGTTGTTCCATATTCCTTTATAAATCCAAATTATCTATTTATTTGAACCAAAATGTAAATTCAAAACAAGCGGACCCGAAATTATAAAAATGGAAAATATTCTTTTGAAACAGGCTTACATATATGTATGTATGTATTTATATATTTTTTTTAAATATCTATAAGTACAAAAACTTGAAATTTTACTTAAAAATTATTTTATTTTGTAATATATTTATATTGCTTTTGTTAAAGTTATATATATAACTAATAAATAAAACTAAACTAAACTAAAATTATCGTCTAGCTTTAGAATTCTACTTATCTTTTTTAATCTCTACAATGTGTCATGTTTTAAGTGGCAAATATATGTCTGATTTTTAGCATCAAATGTCTTTTTTTTTTCTCTTTTTTTATATCTTTTAATATATACACATACATATGCATAAATATATGTATATTTATATCTTTTAAGTATCATGAAATGTAAGTAAAACTACCAAAACGACAGTTACATTATTTATAATATTGTACAATAAATTTTTTAATAAAACTGCTAAATTATAGTATCAAGTTGTCTTGCTTGATGTAAAATTTTCTTCTGATGACCTACTAATGTTATTCCCATATCAGATAATTGTTGAGCAGTTAATCTTGAAATTTGTTGTGCTGTAACTAGATTGGCTTCTTTGAAATGTTGTGAATATCTTGACATTTTTATGCTTTCAAGCCATGAATCAGTACTCATAAAAATGTTATGACTTCGCTGGGAATCAATTATATGTGCACCATCGTTATCAGGTGAATTTCTTGTTGTCAATAATACTTGAGGCTGTCTCGCTAAATTATCCAATGTAGATACTATACTAGCAAATGTTGGACGATGTGTACGTTGTTTTTGCCAACAATCTAACATTAATTGATAAAGTGCCTCTGGGCAATCCATGGGAGCTGGTAAACGATAGCCTTTTTCAATACTCTTTATAACATCCTGATTTGACCAATTCCAATATGGTCGCTCTCCGTAGGACATTACTTCCCACAAAACAACACCATAAGACCAGACATCGGAAGCTGACGTGAATTTTCTAAACGCTATGGCTTCAGGTGCAGTCCAACGTACTGGTATTTTTCCACCTCTTGTTGTATAAGCATCACTGGCATTTTCAATTTCTCTTGATAGTCCAAAATCAGCGATTTTACATACAAGTTGAGTATTTACTAATACATTTCGAGCAGCTAAATCACGATGTACATAATTTATATCGCTTAAATATGACATGCCACTTGCGACCCCCCTAAGCATTCCAATCAGTTGCAAAGTTTGAAATTTGCCATCGTTTGCACGTAAAAATGTGTCTAAACTACCATTTTCCATATATTCAGTTATAATCATGACTGGATTTGAACGTGTTACTACACCTTGTAAGTATATTACGTTTGGATGATCAAATTGTCCCATTATTGAAGCTTCTGTTAAGAAATCACATCGTGCTTTTTCTGATGAACCTGGTTTCAATGTCTTGATGGCTACGTCAATATCTTGAACAAAATTTGGTGGAATTTTTAAACGACCTCGACAAACATCACCAAACTCTCCACCTCCAATAATTGCTTCTATTGTAATATAACTAGCATCTATTTCCCTGGCGAATTCTCTTATTGCTTGATTTGGATCTTCATATGTATGTGGATCAATATAACTTCTACTTGTGCCAAATAATGGTGTTGTCATGTTAGATTGAATTGTTTTGACAATGGGAGTAGTATCCATGGCATGTACTTCATTACTAACATAATCTAAAGGTAATGGAATGTGATTATTTGTTTTTTTATCAAGTTCATCTTGACTTTTTGATCTTAAAAATAATACTGTTGCAATTATAACTAATACAAGTATAAATACTATTGCAACTGTTGCACCAGCAACAATTCTCATTTGAATTGAATCATCATAAACTGGACTAATACTTGGATGTGTCTGCGCGTACACAATATTACTGTAAGCACCATAACCATTAACTGTTTTACAGCGTACTTGAAAACCATATTCCGTATTTTCCAATAAATTTTCAACATGAGCTTTTGTTTCTTTCGTATTTAACGCAGTTTTATTAATCGCATCTAACTCTGGTTTTGGAAACCATCTCACTTCATAAAACTCAATTGGTGAATCACTATGTAACGGCTTATCCCAAACTAGATCAACTTCGCTACTCGTCAGTCCAACAATTTTTACGTTGAACACTGTGCTTAATATGGCCGATTCGGTGGTAAATGTTATTTCAGCATATTCAGTTTTTATTTGACTATCCTCATTGTTGAAAGTGCCACTATAATTATTGTTAATACTATGTATTTTATTAATATCAATATTACTACCGCTTAAAATTGATTCATTAATAGACGTTTCGTTAACATCTTCGCCGTTTTTAATAATATATGATACTCCATTTAATGAATGAATTTGTATTGTATAAGTTGTCACTGGTTCTAAATTTGTTAATGTTAATTTTGTATCATTGAATGTATCAGTTGATGGATTAAGTACAACGTTTGAACTACACATAGAGCATTTAACTTTGAAAACAACGTCACTGCGATATTTCGTTGCCTGCTGCAATTGTTCATCTAAATTTCGAATTGGTGCGTTCCATGATAATATTGCACTCGTTTGATCAACAAACAAAAGAGTTAAATTTGTTGGAGGACCAGGAGGTTTCCAACATGGTGTGTGTTTTCCATCTCTCGGATGTCTGTAATAATTATTTTGACATGGGCAATATGCTGAACCAATTTTAGATGATTTTGAGTTGAGCGGGCAAGCTGTACATTTGGGTACTTCAAATGAACGAAATGTTCCAGCTTGGCAGACGTTACATGTTTGTTTTTCATTATCCGGTTCGTAACCAACTTTACATCTACATCCACCAGTTAATATTGTCCATTTTCCATCGCCTTTACATAAATAAGTTGGAGTTTCGTATGGTTCAGCATTATCAACACACGTACCATTTTGTTTTTCAATAATGGTTATTTCACGACCAGTTGGTGTTTCATTAAAATGTGCAAAATTTTCTGTTACTGCTGGACATGTTATATAATAAACTTTGACAGCTAAAACACTAATACACGCACCTTGATCTCGAAATGCAAAATATACACCTTTTTTGGTAACAGCTATACTTTTAACTTCAGTATTAATATCAACATCAGAATTTTGATTAAAACGACCTTCACCAGCCGCTATACGACCAATTAATTTATAACTTTCTGGCTGCCATGGTGGTGGTTCTCTTGTAACTGCATCAAATTCATAAAATAATAAACTGAATGTTTCTTTACATGATAATGCATTGCCGGGGAATAATGAACAATCCCTAATTGTAAATTGCATTTCAATATAGAGACGATTTGCTGGACCACGATCGATAAATGGTGACCATAACCAATTATTAACATTATGATAAGCAACATCACATACAACATAACTACGCCAATTAATACCTTTGCCAAAATTTGTAAAAGATTCTTCAACCCAACCTGGTGTTTGTGCTTGTGGTCCATAAGGATATCTCGTCCATTCTAATGTTGCTTCTTTTGTTGTGTCTAGCAGAACGACTTGATCTGCTATAACATGATTAACAATTTTAATAAATATCCATATATTTAAAAATATCCTAATATAAGTATCCATAATTTAAGTAGAAAAAAAAGTTGTGAAGAAATTAAATATTAATTTTTTTTTTATTTTTATTTATTTATTTTTTTTTTTTTGCTTTGTTAAATTACTATATTATTATATATTATATATATAATGTTTTGTATTTTTTTCTTGTTTTATTATTTTTTAATTTGGAGTTATATAATTGTTAACGAAGACGACTATAACTATTTTAATGTTACATCCCATTTTTTAATTATATTTTATTTATTATTAATTTGAGTATTAAAAAAATGTTTTGATTTTAATTTTGTAATCATATTTTTGCTTTATTTTTTTTATTATATAATTAAATATATAGTCTTAACCATATTATATTTTGTCTATATTTTAGAATTTTGTCTTTAAATCTGTATATTTGTTTTAAATATTTTGATTGCTTCATGATTTCTTATTCTTATTAAAATATCTGCGTTGTGTTTTTTTTGTATATTGTATGAACATTTTTTTTTTTTGATTTTCTTTTTGCTTTGCAATGTAACCTTTTTTCTTTTGTTTCTTTTTAGCTTTTTTTTTTGATTTTTTATTAAAATCTATACTTATATTTATATATATACATTAATTACTTTTTTTTTTTGTGTTACAGACAACAAAATGGTAACAAATATCCCAATGGTATCTTTAAACTTCAAATTAAAAATTTTGCTTTTGCTTTTTAGAAAAAGAACTCCACTTTAAAAATTATGTATGATATACCCAAAGTCAATAAAATGACACCTTCTTAACATGCATCACATACAATGTAAAAATCATTAGCCCGGCGTTTAATTTATATATATATGCATATTATATATATACATATTATCTTTTTTTTTTTAAGATACAAAAAAATTATACATAATTATGAGTTATTAAAAAAATTATTTTGTTTCGTTAAAAATAAATATTCATTGCAATAATTTACTTAATAATAAAAAAAATTATTTTGTTTTTACTAAAAAAATGGTGTTTTCACTTAATTATGTTTTTTTTTTCTATTTTAATTCATTTAATTCCTTTAATTTTCATTCATTTTTGATTTTTTGATTACAATACAGAGAAAATTTTATTGCTTGAAAATTTTTTTTGGCAATTTTTTCACACAAGTTCACCATCATCTTTTCTTGAAAAACCAATTATGTGTTTTCTATATATAAAAAAAAATTTCCAGCAGATGAATGCACAGCCACTCACAATTTTTTTTGTTTATATATTTTGTTAAATTTTTTACCATTTTCATTTACACATAAACAATTTATTTTTTATGAAATTCAATTAAATTTATTATAAATTTTGATATTGTAAATGAAGAAATTTTCTTAAGTTTTTTTATAAAAAGGATGTATTTTTAAAAGGACAAACGCCATTTCTTTTTTTCTTTAAAAAGAAATCACTAGATACTTTCAAAAATTGTTGTATATCTATACAATTGCATATCTTTACATATATGTATGCATTAAAGTACATAATTCTTCTATTTTATGTATGTTTTTGACAGCCACATTCGTTTTCTTTGGTAACACTCAATTGATTTTTCTAATGTTAGGTATTATTCGGTGAAATCCAGCACAAAAAGAAAAACTGTCATAAAATAAAATATGAAAATTTTGAAAAAAAAAATTATTGTATTGAATAAACTACGTACATGTATTAAAATAAATTAAATAAAAAACCAAAAAAATAACCAAAATTTTGATATTTGTTTTATTTTTATTAAGTTTGAACATAAAGTACCGACAAAAATGAATAGAGAAATTTGATAAAAATGAAAATTTATTATAACCAACGTGATAAATCCAAATTATAATTATATAAGATCAAATGTTTGCAATTACCAAAATTACAAATAAAAATATCAAATAATTTGTAACGAATGCATCTTTCAAATGAATTATAATTGTATGAAATCTTAACGAAATACGAAATTTTTATAAAAGTTTAATATTAAACTTTAGGACTTTGATGGGAGTACCAGTGTTTTTTGCTTCTTTTGTTTTAAATTGACTAAATTTATCCATAACTAAAAACAGTTAATGGTTTTTGCGGGTGTATTCAATCGCGTACATTCAATACGAATCGATTTTTCGTACTGTTTAGTCAATGAATGTTTGAATTTATAACAACCACCTCTTTTATATTACTTTAGATTTCAATAACATAACCTAAATTATTAGCTTAATAGGGTGGCTCGACTATAAACGTAATTAATACAAATTAAAGATTTTCTTTATAACTTTGATTTGAAATTATTGGAAAACGAATACAAAAGTGCGAAATGTAGTTTTTTTCGACAATTCAGTTCAAGCTGTTATTATTTCGTTGACTATATTGCAAAAATTGAGCAAGAAAAATTATTTATTATTCGATAAAAGTTAAATTTAACCGCGTTATTTTGGATAATCCGATTTGTAACTATAATTCGAACGATGAAGTAAGGGTTTAGAAGACAAACTTAAAAAACATTTAATACTTTTGTTTGACTTCATTTATGTTTGCATACAATAACTTAAAAGTTTATAGTTTAATCATTTTTCATTAATAATCAATAGGTTTGGAAATGTAAGGCCGCTGACAGTTCTTATTTGCAACTTTGTAGATCAACGGGAAAATAATTCTTTTGAAAAATAAAATATATTATGCATATCTGTTTAAGAAAACAGGTACTCTGTTGCAATTTTTATGAAGTAATAATATTTACATGTTTTTCCTTTTTTTTTTATAAATGCATAATTTAAGAAATTTATATTAAAATTTTTAAGTACATTAATTATACAGATAATCAATAAAATATTAAATGTTATTACTTACTTGCCAATCCTCTTATAAAAATTTCTTAAATATAAAAATTGTATTGTACTCTTTTGTAATTTGTTGAACACATAATATCATTTAAATTTTAACAAATTATTTTATCTATTACGATTTTAAAATTTTTAAATACAACAATTTATAATACGAAGGGTTTTGTTCATTATGGGGAAAAACTGCATACCATTTTGTAACCGGCAGAGGTACGCTATTTCAAGATGATGCGTAGAATTCATTAACGCATCTATACACAATAAGACGAGATGCGTTTACACAGAAAATATGTTTTACGCAGCCAAAATTTTCAAAAGTTTGACGATATTTGAAATTTTGAATACGTAAATTAAAATAACAAAGATGTAATAAACTCTGAAGTAAATTCGTTCAATCTTCATCCTTTTGATGATAAAAACATTTCCTCTATGATATACACTGAATATTTTTTCTTTATATATGAATAATTGTTAATTAAAAGTGTTTTAAAACAAAATCGATTAATTAATAAATTTTGTACTTATTTATAAAAATTTAATTTAATATTTATTATGCTTATGATCTATTTCGTGTTTTTAATTTTATCAAATCCAAGCCAATGTTGGCGTTTTTTTTCTACGCATGATTATATGAAATTTTTTTTCGTTTTTTACATTCTCTATATAAACTTGCGCACTAGCGATGGTAGCTATTGTAAGAATGTACCCCAAGTAATTTTTTAGACATTTGTTTCAGCCATTTGTTTTTCAGTATGGCAATTTATTTAAAAAAATTTTCCTATATTCACAATTTAGCTTTTTATTCATACTGCCAAAAATTAATTCACAATATGTACTTTGAAAATTGTTGGATAAATAAGAAAATTAAAGAAAAGTAAAGAAGAATGTCAGCTGCAGTTATTTAATTCAGTACAATTATACTGTACAGTGTAAATCCTAAAAAATCATGAGTTTGACATTGTTGATTTAGCCGAAAGTTTTAATTTTCACTTAAAAAATTATTAAAAAAAGGTGTGTTCTATAATACTTATTTTGCTGCACTAGAAAGTGCTTAAAAAATTATTGGTATAACAATTTCAGAAATGTTTATTAGAGCCATTTAAATAAGATGTTACCGTACCATAGAGAAATATAATATTATTGCATTAATTTGTTAAATTATAACCCAAGTTTTCGTTAAGACAATTTGATTGAACATTTAAATTGATACTCAATGTAGTTTTCATAATCCGTCTTCTTTTACTTTTTTTAAATTAATCCTTGAAATTTTTCAGCTAAGTAGAATATATCAATCTGTCAACATAATTTTTATTTAAAAAAACTAAAAAAATTGCGAGAATAAAACAAACACCTGACGCTATTGTGAATATATGTTGCGATATTAATACCTTCTTCGCAAAGGAAAATAACATATTGTATACATATGTTTTAGGATGACATTCACGTGCATAAAATAAACATTGAAGAACAAACATCACAAAACGCAAATTTATTTATTTACTTTATTTGTTGTCTTAAAATACCAATCGATCAACGTATTACAAAATGACGAAATGTAAAAATAAAAGTTGGGATGAATTAGAACCCAAAATATCCCCAGAAATTTTAGATATTATTAAAAATACTTTTAGTTTTGATAAGACCACACCTGTACAGGTAAAGAATTAGACTACTAAAACATATGTATTTTGCAACTTCATATATTTAAAGTATGGAAATAAACTAAAATTTAAATTTTTAAGGCTGCTACTATACCATTTCTCATGTCTAAAAAAGACGTTTCAGCCGAAGCTGTGACGGGTTCTGGAAAAACTCTTGCATTTCTAATACCATTACTTGAAATTTTAAAAAAACGACAATTGGAAGAATCGTGGAAAGAAAATGAGATTGGTGGAATAATTATATCACCAACAAGAGAGCTGGCACAACAAATTTTCGACGTTTTTTCCAAGTTTTTAGAGCATAAAGAATTTTCATTCATAAAACAGCAACTTATTGTTGGTGGAAATAATATAGATGAAGATATAAAGAAATTAAAAGAAACTAATCCGCTGGTCTTGGTATGCACCCCAGGTAGATTAGAAGATTTATTGGAACGGAAAAGTGATTTGAATTTATCAACCAAAGTTAAAAGTTTGGTAAATTATATTCGATATTCAGAAAGTGCCCTTAAATCATGTAATTAAATAGCTCTTTGTTTTTTCCAGGAATTGTTAATTCTTGACGAAGCTGATAGACTACTCGATCTAGGTTTTAGTACAACTTTAAATACAATTTTCTGCTATTTGCCCCGTCTGCGCCGCACCGGGTTGTTTTCAGCAACTCAAACTAAAGAAGTATCGGACTTGGTTCGTGCAGGCTTACGAAATCCAGTTTTGGTTGTAGTAAAAGAAAAATCATCTATAAGTACTCCTGCGAATTTGCATAATTTTTATAAAATAGTAGAACCGGAAAACAAATTTGTAGAGCTCCTTAACTTTTTATATGAAATGCGAAGTAAGAAAATATTGATATTCTTTCCAACTTGTGCCTGTGTTGAATATTGGTTGGAAACATTGCCGATATTTTTGCAAAATACGAAAATTTTGGGAATACATGGAAAAATGAAAAATAAACGGCAAAAAATTGTTAAGCGTTTTAGCGTTGAACAAAATTGTGTATTACTTTGCACCGACGTTTTAGCTAGAGGCTTAGATATATCGGAAATCGATTGGGTGGTACAGTGGGATCCTCCAGCAAGTGCTGCTTCATTTGTGCATAGAGTTGGACGCACAGCTAGACAAGGTAATGAAGGAAGTTCCTTAATTTTTTTACTTCCATCAGAAGATGCATACATAAACTTCTTAAAAATAAATCAAAAGGTAATTTTGGAACCCTTTATTCATAATAGTACCAATTTTGAATTAAGGAACGTTTTGAAAAAAATTCATAAAAATCAGACGTCTGACAAAGGTGTTTACGATAAAGCCATAAGAGCTTTTGTTTCTCATATTCAAGCTTACAGGAAACATGAATGTAACGCCATATTAAGACTTAAGGACTTAGATTTTGGGAAAATGGCTACAAGTTATGGGCTTCTGCAATTACCAAAAATGCCAGAGTTAAAAAAAGCGAATGTGGAGAATTTTATTGGGCCAAATTTTGAAGTAAATATTAATAACCTTACTTATAAGAATTTACAAAAGGAGAATTGTCGAGTGGAAAAATTAAAAATATTCGAAGAAACTGGTTCTTGGCCGGGTAAAGAAAAATTCAAAAAGAAGGCAGAATCTTGGGAAAACACCAAAAAAATGAAGGAGGAAGCTAAAATGAAAAGAAAAATAAGAAAAGAAAAGAAGAAATTGAAAAAAGAAAGTAACCAGCCAACAATAAAAAAACGGAAGCAAGCCTATACAGAAGATGATTTAGCTGAATTGGCGGAAGACATAAAGTTATTCAAAAAATTAAAAAAAAAGAAGATAACAGAAGAAGAGTTTGAAGAACAAATAGGTTATAATGAAAATGATGTTGTTGAAAATTAATGAAATCTAGTTGTTAATTTTAAATGTTTTAAATTTTCATTATAATAAATGTAAAGCCTGTAAATTACACAATTAAACTTTTTTAATTCTTCTTTTTTACTATTTTTAGTTAAACAATTTATTTGTTTTAAGTGAACACTTAATTCTTTCGGGTATAGCCTTATACCAGCGGTTTTTGACAAATTTAGAGTCTTCAATTATTCTGTTTTGAAATACAAGTAATTATAATAAGATTTGTTCTAAAAAAACACAAACAGATTAAGACTTAGCCCTCTTATGGTGGGTTTGCAATGTAAAAACTGTACATACTTAATTGTAACTGAAGGCTAAAGATTTGAAAATAGTGTTTTTTCATCACTTTTTCAAATGTTAGATTTATTTATTAGTTCGCTAGGCATTATCAATTGAAAAAAAAATTAATAAGCACAGAATGATTTGAATTTTATGTAATATAAATACATGTAAGAATTTCTGAAGTTTATGAAGTAACAAAATCTATGTTATCTGCACCTGCAATTCGCTCATATTGCCACGAGTGTAAATTTAAAGCATTAGTTTCATATTATATTAGTTTAAATCTGGCTACATTTTACTGGTGGTTATGTGGTGGTAATTTCATAAAACTAGTACGTTTTACTGGTGGTGCTAATTTCATAAAACGTACTTGTATGTTTCCATGGTTTCTGCAAGTCAAATAAACAAATCAATTACAATATATCAAAACTAGGGTACAATATGTCTACGAAACATGAAATAGATTTTCTTGACGAAATTAATTCAAAATATTCAAACATAGAAAATGAAATAGATATTAAATTGAGCAAATTGTATTTGGATTTCATTACTATACTTTTAACTCTTAGTTAATTTAAAAACTTTGTTTCAGACAACAGGAGGAAATAAAATATAAAAAAGAGGATATTGTTGCAGAAAATAGTTATTTTCCAAAACATACATGCAATTCTTTACAAGAAGCTAAGTGCCGAAACACAGAAATTCTTAAGGTTGAGAAGGAATACTTGAAATTTTATTTATTAGATAATAATAGATATTGTTTGAAAATATGTATGTTTTTTTTAGACGTTAGAAATGACGAAAGCTAGGTTGAGATCTCGATCGACTTTTAGTCCAATTGGTAAGTATTTATTATTGTGAGCTCTCTTAAATGACCATTTTATAATTTTAGAAATGATTCTAAAAAAAGCAAAAAAAAATTATGAGAAAGAATATGCTTTAGTACAAATTACAACTAAGAATTCATGAAACTCAAAATATTTTTACAAAAGGTTACATTTGGCTCATCAGATTTTCATAGCTGATTTAATTTAGTGAAGTAATTTATTGTTAGCATATGTACATTATAGGAAAACATGTTTTAAATTTTATTAAAAAATATTTAATACAATAATAATAATTACACATTTAATAAAATTATAAGTCAAGAAATATTTTAACTGATTATAGAATTAATAATTTTTTTAACAATGATGAGTGTCGTGTATACATTTAATGTAAATAATTTTATATAAAATTCAATATATTGCATATATTATTTAGTTTTTACTTTTACTTAGTTGTTAAGCAATAATTACATTACATTTTCGTCTATTAAGGTGGTGCTATGGAAAATTTTTGAGCAAAAAATGAAAAAAGTGTAAATTACCTGTATGTAACTATGTACTTCGAATTTAAAGTAATTAAAAAGAGTTTTTCGAAAGGAATGCAAGCTTTTTTATATACGATTTATATATTTTTTCAAATTTATTTGTAAAATTCCTTAGTAAATATTAAAAATAATTATCCGCTTCCAACTTGAAGTACGCCAAAGCATACTGCACATACTCGGACGGGTTTATTTATACCAAATTTGATAATTGGTACATCGTTGTTCGAGCATTTTGAACATAAAATTCGACCACAATGACGACTGCAAAATAAAAACACAAAAATTTAATTAATTCTGAAATAATTTTTAAAATTCAAAGATATTTACCAATGATGTTTTCTCATAGTTAAAGTGAATTTTGTTCCGCATTCTTGGCATAATTCTGATTCTGACCACGGTGATTCTTGTGGTAATTGATCTAATAATTTATGCAATAGTTGATTGGTTGCTAATTTGAAATTAAATATTGTCACGCCATCTCGATTTTCAGCTCCTAAGCAAGCACCATTTTTTACTAAAACTTTACAAAGAGGTGCCTGACCTCGCATAAAAGCTAGTAGTAATGGCGTGTTGGCATCTAAATCAGTAGCGTTTATCGGATACTGAGGCATTGACTCAATAAAAAGTTCAGCTATGGCTGCTGCCGTATTATCTTTGCCAGTACGACATAGCTCATGCAACGGATTCCTTCCTTTCAGATTAACTGCTTCGGCATTTATGCTACATTCTGTCAGAAGTTCTCGCACGACAGATAAATGACCTTCTCGAACTGCAATATGCAACGCATTATTACCGTCTCCATCCATTGCATCAAAATCAGCTCCATTTTGTATAAGTGCTGATACTGCAGCTAAATTACCTCTCTCAGCTGCAATATGAAGAGCAGTTTTTTGAGTTGCGTCACGTTCATTAATTCGAGCCCCAGCCAGAATTAAGTTTCTAATAATCATTTCGTTTTTTGATGCTGCAGCCAAATGAAGGGGAGGAGTTTGGTTAACATCATGGACTCTCGAATTGACATCTACTTGTATCGCTAACAAGAACAATACAGATTCAAGATCATCTTTCATAATCGCCGTATGCAAGAAATTCCTGCCGCGTTGATCCATTTGCTCTGCAGCATTTGGTAATCGTTCCAAAATATTTTGTGCTGCTTTATGATTTCGAATTGTCAAAGCACTAGCAAAAGGCGTATTTCCTGTTTTGTCACGTATTTTTAAATCAATTCCAGGATGACACAATAAAATTGAAATGATTTCGGCATGTTGATTTTCGATTGCTATATGAAGAGGTGTTTTGTTATCTACATCAATGCTATTAACGTTTGCGCCGTGATCAATTAGTGTTTGTAAAACTTTTGTTAATCCCCACTGACAGCAAAGATGAAGCGGGCTTGCTTTATCCCTACTTTCGTCTCCCCCTTCACCATTTGGACCGGGCTGTCGCGGCGAATCTGAGTCACAACCGCTCTTTATCAAAAATACGGCAGCATTTTCTTTGTTCTCATCAATAGCTCTATGCAACAAGTTTTGTTGGCAGTCTTCAGGACCAGGGCCCCAGCAGTCTGTATCAACCCCATGTTTTACTAAAACTGAGGCAATATCAAACAGATCATTGTCCAAAGCCGTCCAAAGTGGTGGGTCACCTGAAAAAAATAATATTTAATAATGAAACTAATAATTTTAACTATATTATTTTAAACCTTTGTTATCTGGGGCACTCAAAGAAACACCTCTTCCACAAAGCGCATCAACAACAGTAGGCAAATGGCAATGAATAGCCAATTGTAAAGGAGATTCCTGTTCCCCAGTTAATTCATTCATATCAGCACCTTGATCAAGCAGAAATATTGCAGTTTTCGCATCATGATTCAAAATAGCTTGATGCAATAGTGTCATATCTTGTCCATTTCTAGCGTTTACATCAGCGCCACCTCTAATTAAAATTGGCACTAAATCGTTATTATTTAAAGACAATGCTAAACTGAGAGGCGAATCTCCATTTACATTTTTGCAATTAAAATCTGGTTGTTCATTTTCCATTTGCTCAAGTTCCTTAAATTCTGCAAATTGTTGAATAGATTCCAAGGAATTATATTCAACTGCAAAATGTAAGGGGGATTTTAAATCAGCTACACTAGATTGTAAATTTGGTGATGCTCCACTTTCTAATAACTTCTTTGTTAACTTTGGTAAATTTTTTTGACAGGCCATGTGAAGCGCTGTCATTCCTTTCACATTTACATGATTAAGACTGGCATATTCAGCTAAATATAAAGCAGCGTCTTCAAGTTTTTGAGTTATTAATAATTGCAATAAACTATCGCGAGAATCCGTTTGCAGTTGATTTGGTCGGGCACCCAAATCTAATAATTGCTTCGCTAACTCATAAGGAGGACCATCGGTGAATGGGGGCGTTAAACTAAGTTGCAAGGCACATTTTTCCTCAACTGTTCTAATGTTTAAATCAATTTCTTTACAGTTCAGTAGTGCTTTAATCATTTCCTTGTGCTGAGATATTATAGCCACATGAAGAGCCGTTAGACCTTTCGAATTCTGCAAATTCACGTCACATTTTAATGCTAACAATTTTTTCCCAACTTCAAGCATGTCTTTGTAGGTGTCTGCATCGGTTGAATCTATTGAGTACTGTGATACGAGATGCAAAGCAGTATCGGATGTCGTTCTATATTGTATGACAAATTATTTAATAGAATTATTAAAACAAATTTTCTGAAATTTTATTTCAATTTACATACTTTGATGTTAAATTAACGTCACAGTTCCTAGCCAGTAAAAATTCTGCCGAAAATCCGTCACCTCTTTTAATGGCATCAATTAAAAGTGTATTCCCCTATAAAATAAAATGTTAAATTATAAATATTTTTAAATTATGGCAGAAAATTACTTCTGCAGTGTAAGCATTGATGTTTGCTGAACCATTTTCGACCAAATTTTTCGCTATTGTTTCGTTTTTTCGCAGCAAAGCTAACTGAAGCGGCAATTGACCTTGAGGAGATATGCTATTAACGACTTCATTCAGCTGAAATACAAAATAGTTTTATGCAATGAAAATTCTTTAAAAGTGCTTCAAGTTTTATATTAACATATGTATGTACATATGTATTTACTAATTAAATAAAATGAACAATTTGATAACACTAATTTAGGAAGGCCTAACTCGGAGAAATGAATTCAACATAAAATTTTTCAACATAAGCATTTTTTTTTTTTCAAAAGGATTTTGAAAAAAAAAATGCTTATTAGATTCACTCTGTCTGTCCCTCGCGGACATGTTTACAAAACTTCTACATTCTTGAAGATAAAAAGCTGAAATCAAAGACCTCTGCAAAATGCTATTTTTTGATTATTTATTTTGCAGAAACCATAAATATTTTTCAAATTTCGCAAACTCAAAAAAGTTACCGCTGGGTTCTTTTACCGTTAAGTTAAATTTTAAAAAAGTAATATGGCCCTAAAAATTAACTGTTATTCTTCTAGACGATGAAAGAAGAAGTTAGAAATTTTAGCACTTTTAAAAAAGAAATCAATAAATAATTTATTTGGTTAGAACATTTTCTTCTTATTCAATTGCTTCCACTTGTTGAAGGGAAAAGTGCTATTTTACAAACCATTGGTTTCCCAACTTTATTTGAGAGTAGAGATAAGAAAATAACAATATTTATCACCCAGTTCAATGTGTTTTATGCATATTGTGCAGAAATTTCTGCAAATTTTTTACTATTTTTTTTCAATTTTCATTACCCATAATTCTATACTGCATCGATAAAAAAGTGGAAAATTTTTTCACTAGAAAACAATATATAGTATACTACTACACTATAGTACATTATGTGCGTATGTGTATTTTTTTAGTTTCAGCAGAATTGTGAATATTTACTTAAGAATGTTTAAGACTTTTACAAATCATATGATTGGCTTAATGGCAGAGGACGTAAAGCAGAACAAAATTTAAACAGGAATTTATGTGCATACGGATGTAAGTATATTATGTGTAAGTGTAATCAAAATTTCATAAATAGTGTAGGAACATTAATTTACCAAATAAGTAGCAAAAGATTGTTATAACAAATTTCAATAAAATTGTGGTAGTTTTAAGCAAGTGTTTACAATTTTTAATGTGTAAAAATATAAATTAAACTAAATGAAGCAAGCACTGACAAACTATAGAATTATAAATAAACAAATCAAATTTAAATAAAAGCAAAAGTTTATTATTATCAAAAGTAGTTGTGTTAGCATGAACATATCTAATATATAGCAGATTAGTCACATAAAGTGTGAATAAATGCAAAAGTATAGGATTACTAGCAGTCATTTTGAAACAAAATTGTCATCGAGATAATTAGAGGGTAGGTGCTGTAAGGCAAACCTAAAATATTTTCCAAGTATTTCTTACAGACGGGCGGAATCAAAAATGAAGCCCAATACGAAGCAAAAAAAATGTTAACTATAATGCAAAAAATTCATACCCAAAAGAATTTTTTCTTATCAAACAAAATTATAAGAGTTCGATGTATATTTTATTTGTAGTATTCAAACAAAAAATATATTCTTGTTTCTTTCACGGTTCTCACACTTTGCAGAAGAATGAAGCAAAGCATATTATGTATATTATGTGTTTAAACATAGTTAATCATATTGTAAATATTTGATATTCTTGTCAGATAGACATGCAATTTTTAGTTTTCCAACTGTTTGATTGCTTTCATCATACAAAGCAATCGAACAGTTCGTAATTTTTACAACAAAGCAATTAAATGGCTTGTAATTTTTTACAAACTGATTGCAATTTTTAGCACTTTTCCAAAAAATTTTTTGAAAAAAGTGCTTATTAGTTTCACTCTGTCCATCCGTTCGTCCGTCCGTCCGTCCGTGGACACTTTTTTTGTTTACAAAACTTCTACACCCTTGAAGATAGAAAGCTGAAATTTTATATGTACATAGATCTTTACTAGAAACTTACTTCCGTAGAATAAAATTTTTACCTATCTCCCCCCCTCTAGAAGTTATACCCTCCCAAAACCTTAAAAATGGCCTTTTTTAACTATTTGTTGCAATGAAACCATAAGCATTTTTGAAATTTTGCAAACGCAGAAAGGCAGCGGCTTGCTTTCCCTAGCGCGGTATACTACAGTTAAACTTTAGAAAAACAAAATGACCGTTCAAATTTACCGTTATCTAAAGTCCTTTTTTTCCAGATTTTTGATGTCGTTTATCTTCTAGACCCCAGCTTGTAGAAGCTTGAAATTTTAGGGACTTTTAGACATTAGCAAATAGTTCATTTCGTTAGAAGAAAATTTTTTCCTACTCCACCCCCTCTCAAGTTATCGCCCCTTGAAATTTGTAAAATTTGAATTTTTGACACCTTATATTTCCGAAATCGCACGTTTTTTCAAATTTCTATAAACGCAAAAAGCTAACGGTAAATTCCATGACATTAAAAAATATAATTATTTTCCTTAACTCACACAATTAACCCTTAAAATCGAGCATTATGTTAACCCCTTTTTATATTAATTTTTGCTTTATTTCAAGGACTGCATGTATGCATCATCCTAAAAATATGCAATCCTAGAAAGAGTTTTGTATATGAATGAAAATAATTTTAATAGTGTGATAGGTATACATAGACTGTATTTAAAAGCTGAATTTTCACTTGTTGAAGGGAAAAGTGCTACAATACAAACCATTGGTTTGACCCAACTTTATTATTTAACGCATTCGATTTGAAATTACACAATAGTTTAGTTGCATAAATTTAGGAATAGCTTAGTTGCCCGCAACGATTTTATAAGAAAAATGCATGTTTATTTAAAAATATTTTTAATAACATGAAAAAAGTAGCATATTTGATACTTTTCTGTTAATATTGTCACACTATTTTTTTTTTTAACCTAGCATAATAAAATAATAATTTCGAAAAAGGTTTATGTATTCGTGTATAAATATAGTTAATGTATGTGTGTACAGATGATTTTACTTAATACATATGTACAAATTCTTTACTATATAATAGCAAAATTTATAGATACAGTTGCGTATTATAGTATCATTGCCAAGCAAGTAGCAGTATCAAATCAAGTAATAGAAACAAAATATTTTACAATATTATTTATATTCGATATTTTTGCGTTAATACATACATATATATATATTAATGTTCGGAGTCGTGTGCATAATTATATAAATGTAGCTACAATCTACATACATACATACATATAGCAATATAAAACAATATAATATAACTAAATAAGCTTGCAAAGGAATATTTTTTATTTTGTTTTGTTTCTTTTTTTTTATGAAATGAATTTTCTTCTTTCAATATAATTTAAAAATTTAGTTGTGAATCAACTGTCGTAAAGAAAAGATTCGAAGATCGGAGTTTAAAAGAATAGAAAAAAAAAAACGACAATAAAATTTTTACGTGCATTTTTACGAGATTTTTATTTTTTTTTGTCAAATACCTTGATGATCGAATAAGTTTTAATATTAATACTCGTAATTTTTCATTTTAAATTTTTTAAATGATTTTTTTTTCTCTTGTTTAATTTGACTTTAAATATTTTTTAATTATAAATTTATATAACGTATTTTAGTTTTTGCTTCACAGCGCCAGTTAAATAAAATTTTAAGATTCCAAAATTAATCTATTATACAATTTTATGGAATAAATTATAGAAAAAAAAATCAATACGAAAATAACAAAATAAAGAAAAAAACAAAAAATAAAAGATAAAAAAAAAAAAAGTAATTTAAATGAATGTCAAAGAATGACGTAAAATAAACGTTTCTTCACTGATAACAACAAACAAGGAATAGTAACAATAAAATAAAAAAAAAGTAAAAACAAAAAACAATAATAAATTTTTAAACCTGATGTTAAAAAACAAACAAAAATAACAATAAAATATTTTGTAGAAAGCACACAAACCCACCACGAATTTGTTGAAATATAGAAAGGAAAAATGGAAAATAGGAAAATTCTTTTTGCAATAATAATAAAAACAAAATAGAGAAGCCAAAAATTCATAATAGAATACTAAAAAAAAATTTAATTTTAATTCTCACCATCCCAACTTTACGTATTATGCGTATATTTTTGTATGTTTTGTCGTAACATTAAGAGATACTTAAATGAGAGGTAAAGTTAAAGGAAATTTCTCTTTTTTTTTTTTTTTGCATTAAATTACATGTTTGGTTTGACGTTATTTTTGTTTTTATAATCTCAAGGTACTTTACAAACTAAAAGAACAAGAACAAAATCAGATAGAAAATTGTATACTCACATGCATACATACCTGTATGCTAATATATCCAGGAACCGGTTGTTAAAACAAAAATTATAACAAAAAAAAAAAAATACTAAAAATATTACGAAGACGAAAACTAAAGACTTTAAACCCGTTAACATTCTAAACAAAAACAAAAAAAAAAGAAAAATTAAAAAACGATGAGGGCAATAAGCGAATCGCGTTTTTTTATATTAAAAGTAATAAATTTTATTTTTTGTTTTTCTGTTATTAGTTTTTTTTTTTTTTTATATGTATATTAATACTGCTAGAATGTAAGATACTTTAGTTTCCTTTTGAATTTACAATATGTTTTGAACTCAACTACGTGATTAAAATAAAGAAATTCTAATATATTTTTTTTTTCCACATTTTTGATAATTCTTATGATTTTTCATTTAGGTTTTGCCAGGTTTTTCTATATATGTACATACATACATACATATGTATATGTAAATAATTTACTAATTTTATTATAATGTTAAAAACCGTTATTATTGATGGCAGAATTTTGAAAAAAAATTTATTTTATCTATTTAAAATTTATAAGGTTTGTTTAAAAAATTAAAAATTGTTGTAACTCTAATACATAGATATATATATGTACACACATATGTCATATACCTACATACATATGTACATAGGTACATAAATTTTATTTTTTAAATTATAGCAGAAGAACCCAATTACAATACTCGTAAAGATCGCAATTTAAAATTTAGAAATATTAATTCTAAAATAATAGAGTTTTTAATTTATATGTGCTTACAAGTGTACCTAAGTACAATATTTATACATACATATATGTATATGTACATTATATCGAATTAGTTGATAGCCATAATAATTATTATTATTTGTGAAAGCTTTTATTTTGTTAAAAATTTATTAACGTCTTCAAAACCTTTGGGAGAACAAAAATAATTTCCATTTGTGTATGAATTTTATGTATCCTAAAATAAAATGAAGCCTTCGAAGTTGGATACATGAATTAAATTTATAAAATTTTAACGTCTTTTAATAAGTGCAAGCACCTAAATAATAATATTCGTAATTCTTATATGTATATCAATGTCGTATTAATTTAATAGTATATAAAAGTGATACGGATTCATTATGAATCATCAATGTTTATCTTTTAGTTTTTCATAGAATTATTGGAAAAATATTAATGAGTACGACAAAATTTTGTATTATTCAAAACAAAAGAATGAATCATTAATATTATAATTTGTGGATAAAAATTTATTATGTACATATTATGTATAACAATTATACATATTTAAAAAATTTATTTATAAACAAAAAAAAAAGCAGGAACAATAATAATAGAAACCACAATAATATGATTTTATAATGGGAACAATGTACTGAGTTTACCATGCCATAATTAATTTTTTGTTATTGTTTAGAAAATTTCATAGTTTTGGCACATTGCTTTTTAATTAGAAGAGGAAAAGAAAACAAAATTAATTTGCAACAATAAAATTTATTTTTTTTTTCGACAAGCATTAATTAAACAATTTATTTAGAGGTACATATTTGTGTTGTACATGCAAACATTACAAGAATAATTTTTGGAACATACCGTGAAAATTTTTATTTTTATTACATTCTTTGAATATTTTTCAATATATAATTGAAATAAAATTCTGTTAATTATTTAAATCTATTAATTAACAATATTTCCCATATTAATTTATTTCCAATTATTGAAAAATTAAATTCAAATTTTAGATTTAAAATACGGTATAAGAACGCATACTTGCGTATATGTAAATATTTAGCTAGTGAATATGGTAAAGATTCATTAATTCAACAGTGAATGATACATAATTCAAAGGATTCGAAAAGAATGGAATTACCTAATTTTGGAAATTTTGGAAAATTTAAAATATTATGTTTTTGCTATGAAATTGCACTCATTTTTCATTTAAAGAAATTTAAACCTATTTAACAAAAAAATTAAATATAGGTATAACATGTAAATAATTAAATTAATTAAATTTCTAATATGTACATTATATTATACTATTATATATGATACAAATTGTAATAAATAAACCATATGTGGACAATTTTTTTTTAATTTACATGTATACGGTTTCAATAATTTCTAACGCAAAATTTTTGTATAAGTATAAGTATGCACATATTTGCATTTAAATAATTCTTATTGTTTATTAAATTTACTCATATAACAATAATTTTTCTCTGGTTTTGTTGATTTTTTGTTGTCAATTTCTTTATCACACCCAGAAAATTAATTATAATGTTCTTACATAAAAAAAAATGTTAATTGAAATGGAATCAATTGAAAATTATTGAATTATCAGAAAAATATTTATACTTATATAATTATATTGGAAATTAAAGCAAAATTTTATAAGTAAAAACGTGCTATTATTTCGATAACCTTGATTTAGATAAGTACATATGTATTGCAATTCAAAATAAATAAAAAAATTGAAATCATTTGGTGCATAAAAAATTTTTCTTTTGGATACTATCCAAACTTTTTTCACTTCCCCAAATATATTTATTTTGTTATTCAATAGATTTTGAATGCATCTATCTTATAAATAAATATACTTGGTGTGTTTAAATTTATATTTTCATTTAGCTACCTTTATACGAGTATTCTTTCATGTTTTCCTATAACAAAAGAATTGCAGCATAGTAAATTTTATGTATGTACATACATACATATATGCGCTTCTTTTAAATTATTTATAAGATAGGTGTTTCAAATTTTAATATTGAATTAAAGTTAAAATAATAACAAAAATGTTTAGAAAATTCATAAATTTCAAGGATTAAAATATTTCAATTCACGGATAAAAAATAAAAAATCTAGAATAATTATTTAGAATGAGTACCTACTTATATATAAATGCATGCAGTGTTATTTTTCATTAAGTATGTTTAAAATGTAATTGAATCTTGAATGGAAAGTTTTTAAACAATATTTTGTTACGCGGAAAATTCAATTAAAAAGGATAAGAGCATTATTAAAAATAGTAAATAAATAAATTGCACCAACAGGCAATAAAATTAATTATGACAATATAAACATAACTTAAATATGTGTTAATATTTAATTAAATACATTTCTTTATGATCTAATTATGATCGCAGTTTTGCATACAATCGCATTTGAAAGATCGATTCAAAAATTTCATTTTAATTTCCAATGTTATCAAAAATTCTGAAATTTGAAAAATTCTGATCTATAAGATTTTCGAAAATTTTATAAAAAATGCATATTGCAAAATTATAGTGTCATACTTATGTACGTATCTATGTATGTATGTACTTTATTATGCCATAAATGTTTGTTATTTATTTAGAATTTTTAAAAATTTTCTTGCACGTTTTCATACATATGCAATTTGTGCGTACCACATGCGAAGCATAAAAAAAATTTAACAAAATAAAAAAAAAAAGGACTGAAAATATTTTTTTATATTTCTAAATATAATGTCGATGTAGTTATGTATGTGTGTGTGCATATGAACCCTCAGGAAATTCATAATATTAACTATAGCAAAATTTTAAGTCAATAAAAATTATTATCAAAGTTACGGTTCATTTCTTTCAGTCAACTCTCTAAGTTTGAATTATAAAAACTAGAAAATATTTATAGTTTTATTTTTAATTTGAAAGCAATTTTTATTATTGAAATTATGATTACCTAGTCAGCTTTTTTCTATAGATTAATGAAATTGCTGAAAGTGTTAAATATTGGCTTGAAATACAATTGGTACTGAATAAAACTCTTAAGTTATTATTCTGTATCTTCTTTTATTTAGTCACCTTTCGTTATATTTCTAATTAGAACCAAATTTTTTTTTTAATCGGATTCCTCATAATTAGATTTATTGCATTGCCAAAAAATCATGTATTTAATTGAATACTTAATTCTTAAATTTTTTTTTCAATTTTCATTACTCGGGTTTTACTGTATCTTTTGAAAACAGGATGAAATCAAAAATGATACAAGCAAAAAAAAAAAAATGTAAATTTTTCATATTAATTACCCACATGTTTAGTTTTATGCTTTCATTTCAAAAAGGATATGCCTCTGTGTATACATATCTTTTTACTTATAAATATATGTACATATGTAAATGCATGTGCGTATGATTAAAGGCGAGGCAATGTGTGAACAATAAAGGGTAAATTACAATTAATATATTATATGACCGAAGTTAATTTGGTAACATTTACAGATGTTTTTAGTTTTCACATTGTAGTCATCTATATACATACATAATATTATATATATTATGGTATTATGAATAGAAAGTGTACAATGTTCATATTCGTGCGAATATATGAACAAAGAAGATTATTTTGTAAAAAAGTATTTAAGTACGATTGTTACTAATAATACTTAAATGGGAGCGACTACAATAATTTATATATTTCATTTCCAGGAAAATGTAAAGTTTTTCACACGTGTTTTTTTTTTTTTCATTTCCAGTTGGAATTGGTGTTCTCATCGAACATTTTTTACGAGTATAAAGTAAACTTACTGTTGTTTACACATGAATATTTCGATTTAATCCATCAGCATTAATATACATACATAAGTATAAATATGTATGTAAGTAACCCAAAAATAATTGATATTTTGAGATAAGTGATTGCTTAATGCAATAAATAGTAAATTTAATTTTTCGTATTTTGTATCTTAAAGTACAAAAGTAATGAATTCAAAATTTGCTAAAAATTTTCGTATGAATTACAATATTTTTTTTTGTTTTTCGAAGTACTATTAGTAGTTTAAACAGAATATTTGTTAAAATTGAAGCCATTAGTTGAAAAAATATGTAATTTAATACAAGAA